CCAAAGCAGCACGATGGACGAGACATATCACGAAATCTGGCAGAAGTGCAAACCCCTCGACAGCAGGATCGTAAGACACTGAATCCAATATGTGTGCTGGTCATGCGGCAGACAGAGCGGATTTGCTTGATACACGAGTCGAGCATACATCGACGCATATCAGGAACCCACTTCGTAAGTCTTGTATAAACTCCATCCATCGGTAGAACACCAGCAGGAGAACGTTTATGTAGAGCAGAGTAAATCTTTGGTTGAAGGTTCTTATTAGTGCCAGGGATCTCAGGTATCACAGACACCGTTATCGTGATAACGTCAAACATAGAGAAGAGAAATGGGGACCTGTACCAACTGGGTCGGAAACCAGAGCAGCATCTAGATACAATACGTTCATCAGAGTGAAGAACTTCATGGATCTCTTTTCGAGCCTGTTCCACAGCCGAGCACGACGCAGCGAAACGAACCATTGAGGCAGCAGAGAGGTTGACTAGCTCCTTTGCTTCACAGTCGAGACCCAGAGTCTTAAGACGAGTGATCATATTATATGAGAATGAGTGTCTGGGGGCAGCCATAAGCAATTGAAGTGTTTCTTGATAGGTCTCCAGAACATGGCGAGGGACAGGATACAATTGAAGAACGAACTACAGAACCGAAAGACACATAACCTGGAAAGTAGATAAAGTAACAGCTAAGCCAAGACCCATTTGTCTGAGAGATCGGGTCCGTGAACAGAACTTCCTGAGAGGTTCCTGCCATCCGAGATCCCCCGCCTCAGGGCCAATATATATACCAAGGTATTTAGCGTACCTCACGAATTCAATCCCGGCCAGGCCATTGGAATATTCATTTACACTATCACGAAGAAGAGTTAGATTCAGAGAGCCACAGACCAGTACTTGACATTTCTTCGAGTTGAGAAAGAGACCACAAGCAGGGCCAATGAGAACAAGCAAGGCCCATACACGCGGCAAAGCTGTCAGGATGTTGTGCATCGCAAATAAGCAGTCGTCAGCATATGCAAGAGACCGACGAATATGAATGCCCGAGCGTGTTCGCAGCCATCGCAAGATGGGGTCTAGGCAGAGACAGAAGAGACACATGCTACTGGGGTCACCCTGCCGAACACCACGGAGAATCTGGAACCCATCAAATCTCTTGCCCCCGAGAGTTATGATACCGTAGTTATCACGATAGAGCAAAGTGTAGAACCCGAGGACAAAGCTAGGGGCGCCCATCGATTGCAGAACAGCAAGCATGAAACCGACCAAGAGGAATGGGAATGCAGCAGCGAAATCAGTAAGCAGCATACCGGCACGCTCATGCCCCAGAAGGTCTTGCTGAATTCCCCAGCTCTCAGCAGAGACAACATTACCAAGCATGCTTCGGCCAGACACACATGTTTGTGACTCATCAAACACCGTCTTAGATAAGCGAGAGAGTGGGATGCAGAAGGCACAGGAGAGAAGCTTAGCATCTGTGTTGCCCATGGATAATGGCCGCGTATCAGCACAATCACGAGTATGCATCGGGCCTTCATCATGTGGCTTGGTACCTTTAGGCAAGAAAACCATGAGCAGACGTCGCATATCACTCGGTAAGTCGGAGATGCTGCCGTCGCACAACCCCGAGTATACAGCAAACAGAATCTTGGGAGCTGGTCCGATCGTCCAGCACTGATACGGTAGGCCATCTTCTCCGGGCAGTGAAGGGGAACGGGCTTGGAGCATCTTATTGAATTCCTCAAAGTCAATTTTCCAGAAATCATCAGAGGCATCATGGGCCTTCTGAGAGAAGCTCAGGATCTCATCCCAAAGATTGGTGTCAGCCTCGAAGTCACCAAAGATGGCACCCCAGTGATTACGAAGGGCATCAGCAGAATCCCCCAGGGAAGCACATGGGTTACCATGAGCATCATTCACACTTGATAGCCAGGTGCGTCTTCGAAACCGTTTCCAGATGTCCTGTGTCCTACTTATCCTCTCCAGGGCGGCTCGTTTGGTGGCCTCTTCAGACGGAGAGCTTTCGATCAATGTGGCCTCGCTGTCTAGCATCTGGGTCTGCAGAGATTGGATATGAGCAAAAAGAGAAGCAGGATGTTCGAGCTCAAGAGTAACAAGATTAAAGTAGCTATCAAGATGATCATAGCATTCAATAGCACGAATAATCATACGCTCCCTTGATAAACGCCAACCACGAAGAGACTGAAGAGACCAGTGAAACTTCTCCGATAGCGACGAGGCAGGTCGACTGGCAATGGCTTTCTTGGCACGCTTACATGTGGTATGCATGATATCCTTGGTACGAGCGAGGGTCTGAAGAGCACATTGCTGGCCATGGTCATTATCAGCAAGCATAGCCAAAAGAGCAGAGGACAGCATCTCCTGATAGATGGGATGACGAGCAAGCCAGAGAGGAACAAATGCTTGGGCATGGGCAGGTGGGGCACATCTCTCGATCACCGACAGGACGGGAATGTGGTCCGAGCTCTGAATATTCTTAAGCCTCCCCACCACAGAAGTGCTGATGGTCAAATCAGCCAAGAGAGCCGAGGGAATGACCGAGTCAATGCGGTCGAGGCGCGACGTCTGAGAAATAATCTTGTCCCGTATTTCCCGTCTAGTATCACATTCTTGGAAGAACTCAACCCAGGAACCGCATTTCTGATGGAACAGGTCAGTGTGTGCTCTATCTCCTGGACTAAAACCACTCCCATCAGTCGTTAGCCTGCCTTCATCTTCATATACGAAATTCCAGTCCCCGAGAATAATGTTAAAACTCGTAGCAGCATCAGGAAGGGCATCAGAAATCCTGGAAAGGTAGCGAGAGTACGTAGCAATGGGATCACAAACGTTGGGGAGGTGCGCACTCACAATCACAAGCGTGCCGTGCTTCCCCTTGCAGACAGGGAGAAGAAACCTACCGACAATCAGTGGAACATGCTCAATCGAGTCAAACAGTGCAGAAAAGGAAGACGACATAATTGTAATAACACCACCGGTGCGACTATCATCATTATAGAACGAGTGACCAATGCTAGAGTTGCGAAGATCATGCTGGAGATGCGACACATCTGCTACTTGACCATGCGTCTCTTGTGCACATACAACTGAATAACGACGGCTGAGACTAATGAACTTCCCCCAGCGGTTGGAGGCGGTCGCATACTTCGTAGCCTTCACCGCACCAAAAAGACCATGAGCATTCCAGGTGACAATCGAGAGAGCGGAGGGAGGAGAGAACGGCATATTGCTGGACCCCAACTCAACTGCAATATCCCTGGCGAGTTCGCCTCGTCTACACATAGCAGAGGCACCCTGCATTCTGTTCAACAAATTCATGCGAGAAGATTCGGCCTGCATCGGCAGGCTCTCAGCAGCCTCTGAACCAAGTTCTCACAAGTACACGGACGGGTCGTTCGCTGTGGTGGTGGCCGACGTGATGGCATCGATTACGGCCTCGTCATTCAACTTCCAGATGCGGCAGTTCGTGAGGTTTGGCTCGAAAGACCAGCCTGCAACTTCGTTGCCCTTGATGTAGATCATCTCCCAAATCTCGCCATTGTCAGCATCTCCATACAGGTTGATCATGCCTTGGAAGCCGTTGACCCCAAGGCGCGTGCAGGTGAGGTCGTGACCAGCTGCTGATAGCATATCACGAAGCTTGGCGTAGATGTGGCTGCATGCTCTCTGCCGAACACGAACGTCCAGCGGCATGTCTCCACGGCTCTTGATCTGGTGTACGCTCTGGTTCCGAGGGTCCGTCCATTTCATACTATCTGGTGATGCAGCAACAATGTCCTGGAACCTCTTGGCAGCAAGCTCGGTCGAGAACTCCAAGCTATATGTCTTTGCAGTTCGTGGGAAATTGGGCGTAATCTCATGAGCTAGATCAGCAGGCAGAAGGGGAAGAACGGTGTTGGTATAGTGCAGTCTGCGCTCCCGAGCGAACAGTACCCGAGGGAATGTTCCAATCCATTTGCGATTCTTATTATTCACATCGTTCTTGGGGCCGTCAATGCGTCTGGCCTTCGACCCACTAGAGTCCGAGAAGGTGCGAGTCGAGCCACCGACGGAAGAGGCCGTCGAAGGTGTAGCTGATTGCATAGCTTGTAACTTCTTTACATCTGCTTCTAGGGCAGCAACTCTCTCATTCGCTTTATTGATGTGCTTATTCTCAGCATCTACAGGGATGCCATGTCCAGACATGATCTGCTCTAACTTCATGAAACGCTCGTCAGTGTCCTTCTTCGCCGAGTCGAACTTGCCCTCTAGATAGTTCATACCCGTAGTGACCTCCGACCGCAGCTGTAGAACTTCAGCTGCTTGTTCTTTGATAAGCGTCTCGGTTTTGCCAGTGATATTTTTCTCCTGCGTCACGAGCATCTTCTGAATGTTGGCGAGCAAAGTATCCTGATGACCTCCCGCAGGGCTCGAACTGACGCCTGCCGCCAGCGCCATGTCTGACGAGTGGTCGAGACAGAGTGGGAAGACTTCGGCAGGAGAATCTGCAGCCCTCTGCTGCGCCAGCAAGGCCCCAGCCTGAGCCAGCACGCAGTGGATATCCCAAAGCTAATCAGGTTACCTCGCTTCTTCGAAGCTTCTACCCGTTTAGCCTTGAGCCAAAATGGCTACGGATGATGATGATGATGATGATGATGATGATGATGATGATGACGAGAAGGAGGAGGAGGAGGAGGAGGAGGAGGAGGAGAGGAGGAGGAGGGAACATGAGAAGAGGAGGATGAGCAACAACGGTGGAACAAGGGGCAAGAAGTGGAGATGGAGGCGGAGGAGGAGGACGAGCAGGCGTGGGGAGGGAGAGATGGACAGATGACAAAAAGGAGGAGGAGGAGGAGGAGGAGGAGGAGGAGAGAGGGGAGGAGGAGGAGGAGGAGGAGGAGGAGGAGGAGGAGGAGGAGGCGGAGGAGGAGGAGGGAGGAGGAGGGAGGCGCGCGGCGTGGGAAAAGCAGGAGGGAGCCGGTGGGCGGGGAGGCGGCGGGCGGCCTCGGCGTACATCTGCTCGTGCCTGGCCTCCCCCGCGCGGCCCGCCTCGGGGAGGGGCGCGGCGAGGGGGCGGGAGGGGGAGAGGGGTTTGGCCCCTCCTCCTCCTCCTCCTCCTCCCCACCTCCGTCCTCCTCCTCCTCCTCACCTCCGTCTTCCTCCTCCTCTTCCTCCCCACCTCCGTCCTCCTCCTCCTCCTCCTCTCCACCTCCGTCCTCCTCCTCCTCCTCCTCCGTCCTCTCCTCCTCCTCCTCCTCCCCACCTCCGTCCTCCTCCTCCTCCTCCTCCTCATCCTTCCCTCCTCCTCCTTCCAAAAAAAACGAACTCTAAACACCGACGCTTCTTCCGGCCCTGCACTGGAATCTGCAAGAGGAAAGCGGATCCTGGCGTATGCGGGACCCCGGTGTACACATGTTTCGTTTTCCCCGGGGGACGGATAAAAAGTATACACCACCCCATCCCGACGTCGTCCCCGATGCTCAAAAGAATCCGCCACTGGTAATGTTCTGTGTTCCAGTCGGAGGGTGGGGGGTTGGAACGGAAGTGACCCCAACCGGGGAATCAGTTTCGGTTTCGGTTCGTGTCGTGCGTGCGGGCGAGGCGAAGCTGCGCGAGTTCGACCCATAGCAGAGGCCATCTATTGCCAGAAGGGCCGCCCACCGAGCGCAGGGCGTGACCCCGGGTTGTCCCGGCGTTGTCCCGATGGTTGTGGTTGTCCCGCTGGTTGTCCCAATGGTTGCCCCGATGGTTGTCCCGATGGTTGACCCGATGGTTGTCCCGATGGTTGTCCTGATGGTTGTCCCGATGGTTGTCCCGATGGTTGTCCCGATGGTTGTCCCGATGGTTGTAGATAAATCGATCGATAGATGTTGTCAGATGCTGTCCCGATGGCTGTCCTTTTGTTGCATGCAGTGCGCATGGAGGCCCACGCCGCCTGAAGCACTGCAAGCAATTTTCGGCGCATGATGCGGTCGCCCGACCGGAGGGGAGCCCACCCAAAATTATCCGGAAAACAATGTGTTGGATGGATTGCGGATTTGTGATTGAAAGAATGCACCAAAGGTCACCCAGCGCCTCGACGAACCGCGAAGCGCAGCGCATCTTCAATCAGCTCGCAAATCTATGGCCACATATATCACTGCGCTGTGGAATAATGAAAGATGTATGACATCTGTGTATGGGGTACACTTTATTTTCGCTTGAAGCTCTCTCGCTGCTACAAGCTGGTCGACGCAAGCCCGACGCGGTCCACTACCGACGCTTACGACGCGTTCTGGGCATAAAGCCTCATGTCGCATCAAGAATGATACATCCATCCGTCCCAGACAAGGCTCTCGCCAAGCCCTCTTCGCAAGCAGAGCTGGGCAGACAAGAGAAATTGCCACAAACTATCATTAAGTGTGCCTGGGTCTCTCGCGCGTCAGATGGTATGCCAGCAGGATGTGGCGCCCCCAAATAGGTTTATGTCGGGCGTGTCCCCCTACAGGGGGATTTTCTACGAAAAATGAAAATACCCAAAATACACAGAAAACATAAAACATACTCAAACGATAGTCCCCGTACTATGTTTGGATTATTCTTGGGATGTGTTTTATTTTTCGTCGAAAATCCCCCTGTAGGGGGACAGGCCCGACTGAAACATAGGTGGAACATAGGCGCCGCAGCAAGCCCAGGCAGTCCTGGACTTTCGAAGTGTACAAATAGTCTCAACACGTCTGCGCGTGTCAATTGTCTTAAATGGGGCCTTTCCCCCTACAGGGGAATTTCGGACGAAAAATTACAAATACCCCTAAACAATCAAAAATGATATATATATATATATACGCATAAAAAATCCTCATACTTTTTTGTCTATGTTTGAACATTCCCCCTGTAGAGGGACAGGCCCGACTTAACAATTGTCTGACATTTGTCATCTTCTCCCCTCCTTCTCTTGCACTGCGCTTTTTGAGGTTTGCAGTATTCGACGATTTCCTTTCGGAGGCCGCGGGTGGTTGTCGTGCTAACGCGCCCTGCTGGATGTGCGGCGAAAGTGGTGGTGGAGGGCAGGAGGAAGGCGTCGGGGACCTACTGACCCGGGTCTATCCAAAACCAGGTCAGTCGGGCCTTGCAAGATCCTGCAGGATTCTGCGCGACCCTGGCCTTGCGGATCCTGCAAGATCCGGCGCGCTGGCTGGCCCCCCTTTGCATTGACCCCCGTCTCAAAGCCCTCGAGGGTGGGAAGACCAAAAGGTACCGATACCGCTGCTCCCCGGACCTCTCCCGGGGTGCGTTCTGACCAGAATTTCGAAGCGAATCCGACGGTGGCGACGAGGGCCTCCGAGGAGGCCCAAAAAACGGGCGAAAGGTAGAGGTATGGGTGCCTTTTCCTCCTCTGAGATCGGGGGCGGCCAAGAGGGGGGCGTCCAAGAGGAGGGGGGGGTGCAAATCATGACCGGCGGCATGTGCGCGGCCCAGCGGGGGAGCCAAGGACGTAGTGGAATAAGAAGAGGCGCCGTAAACTCTGAGGAAATATCATGGCCCCCGCCATGATATCCCCCCCCCAGTCATCACTCCCCTCTTTGCCGCCCCCGTTGACAGCGAGGAAGGGGGGGAACAACGCCGGGGGGGGCCCGCCGGGCCGAAGGGGCCGGGGAATGCAGAGGGGCAGTCGCCGTCCCCGGCGGGCCGGGGGGCGTCCCGAGGGGCCCGCCGGCGGCGCCCTGCGCTGCAGCTCGTCGATCTCCCGCGCCTCCCGCGCCTCCTTCTCGTGCCTCCTCTTCTCCTGGACCTCGCGAGGCGGAAGGGAGGGGGGTTCTCCCTCGCCTCCCTCGCCTCCTTCTCGTTCCTCTTCTCCTGGACCTAGCGAGGCGGAGAGGATGGGGGGGGTAATCGGGCCGAACGAAAGGGGGGGGATAGGGAAAAGGGGGGTTACGAAATCTGCTGCATGGAGCTGGTTTCAGCCCCAACGAAGGGCCCATTCCTCGATACATGGCCGCCTCTGGCGCCGGGAGGCGCCAGGAAAATCAGCTACGTGAGCTGATTCTCAAACTCCCCCTTTGCTGTCCCCACCTTTCGCCCGGCCCGAGTTAAGGGCCTGAGGGGCGGCTGGGAGAGTGGGGGAGGGGGAGTGGAAGGCAGAGGGGGGCGGGACAGGCCGACGACATCTGACATTCCACCCACCACGCGCATCCCTGCCCACTGCGCTGAATCCTGTTCTACCTGCTAGCTGGGGCGTCCAACGAGACCTTGATCCCTGAATGGCGTTTCTTTCTGCACCCTCGGCGTGCGGGGCGCTTGTACATGCGAGGAGAAGGGGCAGGGGGAGGAGGACAAAGGAAGAGGTGCTTTGACGTCAGACGGCACGAACCACACACACACACACCATGGCAGAGCCTGGTCGCACAGAGGACCAAGCTCGCCACCGCTTGCCCTACTTCCAATCCGACCTCTGCCTCTGCAGTTCAGGGCCCGACGACAACTGTAACACCATCGAGCTTCGGGTGGCGCCCAGAGGCTACAGTAGGAGCTCGACCACAAGAAACCTTTCACAAGAAACCCAACCCTGGGACCCTAGGACGTCCATTGAATTTTGTGCGGGAGCGTCGCGCTTTCCGAGGCAGAACCATCGAACCCCAAGAAACCCAGGGCAACCTGGAGACAAACAGGGTGTTTCTTGGCACGGGTATCCACTGTATACCATGCCTGGAACGAGTTCTCTGAAGGCGGCATACCTGGCCGAGACCGCGCACTTGGCAAAAACTTATGTGACTAATGCAGCGTCGAACAACATAGAACATGTTGTCACTGGCATCCAGGTACACCATGGTGCGGCCGAGTTCCGCAAATCTGGGAACACCGTCGGGGTGGATGGACCACCCTCTACCGGCCCACTGGAGGCCCCAAGCTCCCAGCAGCTTTCAATGGGAGCCTCTCGGAGCCCTTGCAGCGTCTCCTGTCGTTGTTACTGCCAACTTTGACCAGTGCACGCTGCAGCCACGGGACCGTGACCCAGCAAAGTATGGGCGTGCGCCCACCGGGTTGATTGGCTTGCGCATGGAATGCCTCGCCGCTCGCCTCACCGAGGGACCAAGGCAAGGCTGGTGCACACACCCCAAAGGAACCAACAATATCCTCAAAGGAAAAGACCGTCTTCAAAACCAGTGCGAAGACAACCAATCCTTCCGACATGTGTGCCAAGCTCGCGTCGTCCATTGCTGCCTCCATTGCGTGGGTTTGCGCATATGACAATCCAGAGTTGGTGGCCGACCTGTGTAAGTTCTACATACCGCATGTGGATCAAGACTTATGTTGCTCCCATCGTACTTAAGGACCACATCCCAGAAATAATTTCGAGCACCCGAACAAATGTCGAAACAATGTCGAAACGGTGTCGGACGAGTGTCTCCCAGGGTCCGACACGTGAAAACCTTATTGTGTCAGTGCTTTTTAAGGGATCGAAAGTCTTTCTGGTGAGCAAGGCTAAAGTAGGTTGGGACATCATAGATCAAGACTTCTCCATGGGCCCCGACTTTGATGCAGGTCAGAGACGAGAGCCCGTCGCTCGAGCGGACCATGAAAAAAAACACCACATGTTCTCAGACCAAACCATGTTCTAATAACAAACAGTGTTCTTAGAACATGAACCCGATGTGATAAAACAAGACAGCCCCGACCAGAAATGTTCTACGAACATGTCGTGCGAACCACACAAGCTTCTCAGAACATTGCTTGGTAGGCCTATAGGCGAGCCAGGAGGCTTCGCCATTGCCTGATGGAGACCGAGGGCTTTCTTGAGTTCTTCCCCCCCCCGCTCTCTGAAGGGGAACTGGGATACACAAATAAATACACACAAATAAAAGTATTCCCCATATGTTCCCATCATATGTTCTGGGTGTTTGTCTTCCCCTCCACTTCCCATATTTTCTCATATGTTCTGGGAATCGCCGATTACTTGTGTCCGTGTGTGTTGTTTCCCCTCCTGACTCTCCTCGCCTCCGCCTCCGCCTCCGCCTGTCGCCCCGCCTCCCGCCGCGGAGCAGCTCGCCCGTGCAGCTGCCAAACCGGAGGGAGGCCGAGCTCCGGAGGAATAGCCAGGAAGGCTGCGGAGCACCAGCGGCGCGAGCGCCCTGGCAGGGCGCCCTCCACTTCCACATCGGCCCCCCGCAGGCGGGCCCGTTGCCCTTTTGATTGTGGCGTATCGCAGCATGTCGCAGTCAGAGCACAGGCGTTCGTCTCATGCCACCGTGCCACCACCACCCCCCTCCCAGAGCGGAGGGACGGCAATCAGAGGGGGGCGGGAGGGAGGAAGGTGGACCTGCAACTGTATTATCATGCGGCCTGCTCCTCCTCCTCCTCCTCCTCCTCCTCCTCCTCTTACTGCTCCTCCTCCTCCTCCTCCTCCTCTTACCTGCTTGCGCTCGTCCTCTTCTTCCTCTCCCCAATGCTGGCCTCGCCAGGTCCCGCCCCCGTGCGGCGGGAGTTTCGGGCTCCTATCGATACTCCTCCTCGTCGGACTGATCCTCCCCTGTCTCCTCTCTGAACCTGCTTGCTCCTCCGGCCAGGAGCAATTCGACGAGGAGGGCCACGGGCAAGAGCCCGAACCCGAGAAACGCGCCCTTCAATCACAGAGGCGCGGGACCCTTCCGCGTAATTATTTGTCGCCGTTTTGCCACGGAGTGGGAGGGGCGGAATGTCACCCTGTTTGCGCTTTTGAGGATGGCGGTGGCTTGGCATTGCTTGGCACGGATTGGCATTGAGTGACATTGCGCGGCTTTGCGTGGCGTTGCTGGGCATGTCTTGGCGTTGCATTGCATTGCTTGGCCTTGCGTGGCAAGGCAGCAAGGAACAAGGACCAAGAAACCAAGGATCCACAGACAAGGAACCAAAGCCGAGGAGCCCGAGGACGGCAGCGAGGAGCCAAGACCGAGGAAACAAGGATTCAAGACCAAGGAAGCCAAGGAAGGCAGCAGGAAGCTAAGCCCACAGAACCAAAACCTGGGGATACCAGAAGGTACCGATACCGCTACTCCCCGGACCTCTCCCGGGATGCGTTCTGACCAGAATTTCGGAGCGAATCTAGCGGTGGCGACGAGGGTCTCCCAGGAGGACCAAGAAGAGGAAATCGAGGGAAGGGTAGAGGTATGGATGTGTTTTCCTCCTCTGAGTACCAAGGGAAGAGAGAACGCCACTCCAAGGAAGCAGAGCCGAGGAACTCCGAGACACGCCACTGCAGGCACACAAGACCGAAGAACTCCGAGCAACCCCGGCCGGCGCAGGGCGCGGAAATGGGTGGAGGAGGAGGACCAGTGTAAACCCAAGAGTCATCAACGATGTTGGAATAATCCTCCCTCCAAGCTCCCTCTTCGTAGGCCCCTGCAAGGGCTCATTGCCTCTGAGGGAACTGCCTCGTTGGAAGACAACCGTTTGAGACCCAGAAGCATGCTCAAACATTGTTCTCGGGATTCCAGCGCCACGGATCCTGTTGCGTCCTGACAATCCTGAATCGTGCCAGAACGCCGTTCCTCGGACTTCAACACCGCGAGTCAACGGACCTGTTGCACCCTCATAATCCTGAATCGCTCCAACACACAATTTCTGGTACGTTGATCATGGGAATCCGTTAAACCCTTGTAACGTTTAGAAGCGAATGTGCGCGGAGCCAGATGTTTAAAAGAAGCCGCCCTCAATGTGTGAAACTCTTGCTATCGTATAAAACAAATGTGCACGGCGCTGATGCGAGAACTCAACTTTGAAAACGGCCCGCCCTCAATCCGTCAAACTCTGACGACCATTTAAAACGAATGCTCGCGGCGCTAAGGCAAGAACCACATGTTGAAAACGGGTCGCCCTCAATCCGTGAAGCTCTTGCAAAGTGTGAAAACGAATGTGCGCGGCGCTAAAGCGAGAACCACATGTTGAAAACGTGTCGCCCTCAATCCGTGAGGCTCTTGCAGAGTGTGAAAACGAATGCGAGCGGCGCTAAGGCGAAAGCTACATTTTGAAAACGGTCCGCCCTCCATCTGAGAAACTATTGTCAAGTGTTATGCTTCATGGTCATAAGTGGTGAGGTAATCTCACGCGAAACGCCCGGCCATCCCCAAAGACTGGCCTCGGGTGCGACAGGGAGAGATGATATATAAAGAAAAGTAATGGAGGAGGAGGACAACCACTAGACCCTCTAGCCAAGAGCCAAGCTGGGGGACAAAAAACACGAACCCCCTTGGGCTGACCTGGCTAATCCCAGCTTCGTTATGATGTGGACCCCCTTTTGGTTTGTGCTACGATCATGCTCCTCCGCCGCCGTTCTCGCGAAACAAATGCCCGGACGTCGCTTCTGCGCGGCACGCGAAACTCTCCATTCTCTCCCCTTCCCCTCCCTCCCTTCGCTCCCCTCCGCCCTCGGCTCCTCCCTTCCGCCTCCCGTGTGATACGATTGCCGTTATGGACCAATCGATTGGACAAGTGCTGGGGGCCCTCCCTCCCCTCTTCCCCCCTTCCCTGCCCCTCCCTCCTCCCCTGCCTCTCCTTCCCCCGCACCTCCTTTCTCCACCCCCTGCTCCCTCCCAACCCCCGCCTCCCGCCTCCATCCCCCGTCCCGCCTCCGCCCACTCCGCCCCCCTCCCCTCCCCAACTGGGGAACTCCTGGAACCTAGGGGGCTGGCTTTCGAGTAGAGGATCGACAACAGAATTGGATTATCCCAAAATTGATTTGTTCGTCGAACACATGAGACGAGGCTTGGGCACGCGTCTCGGCAGCTGACTTGTAGGCGCATGCAGAAGTGATCTCTCGGAGGTCGCTGAGTGGCTGTTCCGTTGTGGGGGCGGGCGGGAGCCCCTCATCCCCTCTCCAGCCGCCAGCAACGAGGGGGGCCGGGCCAGGCTTGGGCATCCTGGTGTCATCTTCCTTTTCGGCAGTTATACCAAAGAGATCGTGCCCGCGGGACCACACTCTATCCGCAAGGGTTCGACCAACCAACCAACATGAAGGGGCCTTGGGACACACCCACATAAATACACACAAATAACAGGATTACCCATATTTCCCAATGTTTTCTGGGTTGTTGTCTTCCCCCCACTGTCCATATTCTCCCGTATTTTCTTGGGAATCGACAATGAATTGTGTCTGTGTGTGTTTTTCCCCTCCTGATAACAAGCCCATTCTCCGCTGCGCCCCTCCACCCGTCCTGCCTCTGCCCCACTCCCACCCTCTCCTCCACCCCGACCCCCTGACGAGGAGGCAACCGCTGAAAGCTTGATCACTCAGCCGCTCGAGCCTCGACCCCACCCTGCCCCCCTGGCCCGCCGCGGCGGGCGCCTGGATTCGCCGCTGGTGCTCCTCGGGGGACAGGGCTGGTGACCGCCGCGGGGCAGGGAGGACGGGGGGGGAAGGACGAGGGAGGTGGCGGACCGAGGAGGAGTGAGAAGAGAGAAGCTTGGCAAACGAGCGTCGGTGATGGGAACAGAAGCCGTGGTTGCAGACGAATGGCGTCTGACGGGGTCGCGCGAGCCGTGGCATCGGACAGTGTACCTAACACTCCTGGCCCAGGTCGCCACCCGCCTTAAAGGTGGGCGGGTGCCAGGGTCGTGGCTACAGGCGGAATGAAACAGAAGGAGGAAGGAAGGGAAGGATAATGGTTTGACATGAAATGGCTGCGGGGCGCCTTAGCCCTGTCAGCGAGCCCGGCTTCCTAGTGTCGCCACTCTTGAGAACACGGTGGACGCGAGCGTCCGGTCGCAGCAAGTCATTTGACAAAGCGAAAGTGTTTTCCGGGATTTCCCACTAACGCCGCTGGTCGACTTACCAAACCCTGCTTATACTGTGACACAACGGATTGGACCTGGTACCCGCTTGACATTGCGCGGAAGGGGAGGAAAAAAGGAGGAGGGGACCCGGTATTGGAGGAAGAGAAGATCAGCGAGATGTGCTCCACCTTCGCTCGGAAGCCTCCCACTGGCTGCTTGGTGGGACTCTGCTTTAGCGCCTGCTCGGCTACAGGCTCGAACCGAATCACTATGGAAGCTGCACTGTTCGCTGCTGGGCAGGGCTACACGTGACAATCGTTGCCCAGGCCATCCCCGGTCTTAGCAGCAACAGCGCACCACCTTCCTACCCCATCCACTACACCATATTGGACACACTACGGGACAGACGATGCAAGCGGTGACAAAGCGAGACGGCCGAGTTAGACGAACTTACGCCGATGGCTTGGGAGCACTCCACACTTCGAAGACAAAAGGCTTGCCCAAACCATGACCTAAGGGTGGGATCCCCGTTCAGGGCACGCGCCTCGCTGTTAATTTCCCTGGCCAGGGCGGGATATAATCCCACCACCAGCCAGCTGAAAGCAGAACGGCAGATCTTGGCCGTGCTTGAATGCTGAAACCGAGAAAAAGCGACCTGCTCCATCACCCTAGTAGTGATCTCACTGGCAAGCGATGCCCTTAATTTGTTCAATACCGAGCGCATAGCGTTATGGAGTAGGCTGGAACTAATACTTACACTTCGACTCTCCGAAAGTACGCCTTGGGCCACGACGTGTGCATCCACTCTGGGGGGGCGCTGGAGTGCGAGAGGGCGGGAGTAAGGGCAGCTGGTTTCAGAGAGTGTGATACCGCTAGCCTCCGACAATGCTTTGCGATCACCAATTTCAAAAAGGAGATCTCCCAATACGCCCATTCTATGATGAACGCATGAAATTTCGAACGCCCCCGCATCTCAAGATAAACCTGCTTGGTGGTCGAGGCAAGACCGCGGCTGGCAATCAAGAAGTCGTCACGCAACCTGAAATATCCCACGATGCCAGCTGCCGCGAGCCTCTACGGCCTAGCTATCTCCAGCTCCATCAATGACAAAAGTGCACAGTCGGCGAGTTCAAAGCTGTGCTGCACACCCATGCCCGTGCCGACCGTTACCTTGTAGGTACGGTCCTCTGAAGCGTCCCATGGGTCGTCCACCCACTGGTTCTCCAATAGGTACATGATGAACCGCCCCAGCGTGCCCCTCATAGGCCACTGGCCGGCCAGAGCGCGAGGACCGCGCTCGTGATCTCACCTGGTTCGCCGCACAAATAAAAATCCTTCACGTCCACTTTGGCGAAATGCCATTTCGGCACGTCCATGCCCCTGAATTGGTCCAGCCTGCCTGCCGATCAGGTCAGAGGAATCCCTCAACCGGAACGGGGCGTGCGTCCTCAAATTCTCGCGGAGGTGGCCCGCCACCCACATGTTCAACCCAGCATACATGTACGTCAGCGAGGTCGCCGTCGCCGCTCCCCCCCCCTTTTCCCTGGGCACGTCGCCGCTCTCCCCGCCGTTCCCTGGGCCCTCCTCAAGCGCGACAGCCTCCGAGGCGGCCCCAGAACGATCCAAGAGGGCGCCAGGACGGCCCAAGAGGCCTCCAGGACGGCCCCAAAAGCCTCCAACAAGGCTCCAGGAGGGCGCCCAGATGGGGGGCCCGAAGTTCGAGCCCTCAGCCCTCGGCTCCGACAAACTTCCAGGAGGCCCCACGAGGCCCCCAAGAGGCCCAGCCCCAAGAGGCCCCCAAGAGGCTCCCAAGAACCTCCCAAAATGCTCCCAAGAGGCCCCAAAACTGCCCTCCAGAGTCCTGCGAGAGCGCTCCGAAGAGGCTCTTGGAAACATCCCTGAGAACTCTTACCCACGCCAGAGTCCAGAGTCGTTGCCGCCGCCGCCTTCGTCGTCGCCTTCGTCGTCGTCGTCGTCGTCTTCCTTCAGGGTCGGCGGCACTGGCCGCAAGGCCTTCTGAATATCCTGCATGAGTGGGAGTTCAACAACAACCAACGAACAAATATTCAGTTGTTGTTACTCATCACGCGAGGGGGTCTGAGTCCTTCTCCTCGCCCTCCTCCTCCTCGCTGGGCTTGGAAAGCAGGCCGATCCTCGTAGAGCCTGTTGCTGACCGCGTGCGGGTCCACGCTGGCCCTCGGCGACGGCTTCGCCTTCCCCCCCTCGGGCGGTTGTCGCCGACGTTCTCACGGTTCGAGGATCAAGGTTCGAAGATTTTGCACGGTTTCTGCGAATATGTTCGCCTCCAAGGTCCGACGGAGATGGAACCAAGGGAGGGAGGGAGGGGAACGGACGTGGGAGGGGATGTGGGCGATTGGAGGCGGGGCAGTGGAGGAGGGGAAGCGAGGAGAGAGGAAAGAGGATCAGAGGGAGTCAGGGGGAGAGGGGGGAGGAGAGAGGGAGGGGAAGGGGTGAAAAGAAAAGATCGGAGGGCGAAAAAGAGGAGGGAGCATAAGAGAGATGGGACTCGAGGAACAAACAACACATAAACATAAGCTTTCGGAGGTCCGCGTGGATGTTATGGGCCTGCACTGCATCCCGTTCCCTGGTGCACGAAGCGAGCCAGGTGCGTCGCAGGAGGCGCCACCGGAGGGTCTGGCGCCGATCCATAAAAAATTGCGCGGATCTTCGCAAGCATACGTATGTTTATAATTTGTTGTTGTCCTCAGTCCTCCAAGAGGGGGTGGGGGAGAGGGGATGGGGCAGGCATGGAAGTAGGGGAGAAGGCAGGGGGCACGACCCTCCAAGGAAGGGGGGGGAACCCGAGCCCGTTCCCCAAAGGTGGCCCCCGAGACTGCCAGAAGGACTCCGAGTGGCCTCCAGAGGCCCCCCAAGCCCTTCAAAAACGCTCACAAGAGGCCCAACGAGGCCCCCGAAATACCCCCGCGAACACGCAGACAAGTGCCAACGATGCTACACTATGGGCCTGCGGAACGAAAGAAGCGATCCGCTGCCCCATCAGATACTGCGTGTGAGATCCACGCATCACGGTCTGCAAAGACTGTTTTTGCCCAATCCTCTGACCTACTCGCTTCTCGTTCTTACTCTCTCCTCTCGGGTCGGGCGAAAGGGGGGGATAGCAAAGGGGCGGTTTGAGAATCAGCTCACGTAGCTGATCTTCCCGGCGCCTCCCGGCGCCGGAGGCGCCCATGTATCGAGGAATGGGCTCCTCTGTGAGGCCAAAATCGGCTGCATGCAGCAGATTTCGTAACCCCCCCTTTCCCAATCCCCCCCTTTCGCCCGACCCGATCCTCAGAGCCCTACTAGAAACTCCTCCCGGGGTCCTCCCCGCGGCCTGCTCCTTCCGCCGGCCCGAAGGCCCCGGATGCGTCTGGAGAGCGACCGCCGCCCGCCACTTTGCTTCCATGGCGGGCACGTCTTCGCGCGGGAGACCCCCACGCGCCTCCGGACCCCGTCGGGGACCTCTTTGGAGAGGCCCTCCTGGGCTGTCTTGAGGGCCTCGTGGGCCACCTTGGGCAGCTTGGCCCGTCGTTAGGGTCCTCGGGCCGTCTCAAAACCTTCTGGAACTCTCTTCGAGTCAAATTGAGTCCAGATCCCCAAAGCTCAGAACTGTAAAAGCCAAAAAGACTCTGACGATTCTGGCCGTCTCGGGTTCCTATTTCCGCCGTCTCTTTGAGCCTCTTGTGACACTCTTGCCACCTTGGAATATATTGGAGGCCTCTTGCGTCGTCCTCAAGAAGACGGGCGCGTTCCACTATTCGCAGAAAGTAGCTACTCGCAAATAGCCCGGATCCGCCGAGGGGGATATGCGATTCGTTAAATCGAGGCAGACGTTTATTCGGGGGACCTTTTGCAAGGAAGCACTTTGCGAGAAGTGCAACGCGCTCGGCGATCAAGGCATTTTGGAGCCATCGCGGAACGCGGACCATGTGGCTACCCACGAGGCCCTTCGGAGCTCCCAGCGACCGTGGAGCGTGAGATCTTGAAATCCTCTTCAGCCGTCCTGGACGCCCCTGAGCCCCCTCTGGAGGCCCTTCTAAGGGATCGAATGTAATGTACTCACGCTCTTTTGCTCCTCAATCTGCCTCTGGTGGTCTCGTCCGCCGCCTGGGGCAGCCCTGGGTGCCTTTTCGAACTGCTTCTGCAGCTCCTTGGGGCCCTCCTGACTGGCAGTTAGTCTGGACCTTTGTAGCCGCCTCTGTTTACACCATGCCCCCCAAAATTGTTTCACGGTCATCCCACCCAACTACCTTTGCATTAAAACGACCACGTTCGACAAAAATGGGCTGCTGGTGTCCGTCTCAGTGGCGTTCACCCCGTCATCGTGGTCGTCGAGGCCTTCGTCGTCGTCGCCGTCGCGCACTTCACTTGCATTCCTTCAGCTGCTGTCGATCCCCCTGCCACTCCTCCCCCTCAACCACCCCTCCTCAACATTCGCCTCCACATTCCCTGCGTACGTTTCCCCTACCAATCCCCCATCTTACTCCCCACCTCTGGTTCCATTACCAGCCTCGAACGTATCCCTATCCCTAAGATTGACACGCCAAAAGGCGATGACAATCTTGGGGATTCGCCCTCAAAAAAAAGGGAATCCCTAAGATTGGCATCGTGATGAGGAGGTGCCCAGCATAGGGATAGGGATATGTTCCAGGCTGGTAATTCCACCTGTCCGTCCTGGGCCTCCTTCGTCCTCCCAGCACTTCTTCCTCCAAAGCGTCATCCGCCTCGCCTCTGGATTCTCCTCCGTGCCCTCTTCAGCTCGCCTTCGCGCACGACCCATATTGGCTGGCAATGGGGCGGCGATGCCTGCCCCCTCGGGGGGGCTCACGCTGGCCATTGACCAAGTCGTAGGGGGACCCGGATAATTGATCTTTTACAACGTAGCGTTGGAACTGCACCCTGCTAATCAACAATGTGCAAGCCCCTTGCCTTAACGTGGCAAACCGCTAACCTAACGCAACCCAGGCACTGTCGACACTGCGCCAAATCTAACCTAACCCATTAAAGCTAACGTGACCAACTGCTCGGCGACACCTGTGTGTCACGCGCGCGCTGTAGCACATGATGCACCATAATGGGGCGACACAGACGCATGCACTGCCGAAGTGCCAACCGTATCACTAATCTCGGGTCGTCTTCAGGGGATAGTATGGCAGTCGGTGATGAGAGGGCAATTTTCGTAATCATGGATATGGCCGGCGCTGAGGCGAGAGCAACATTCTGAATTATGGGCGTGGCCAGCGCTGGGGTGAGAGCACCTTTCGCAAACGTGGATGTGGCTGGCGCTAAGGCATTCAGCGAAACATTCGCAATCATGGACAAGGCTGGCGCAGAGGCGAGAGCAGCTTTCGCAATCGTGGGTGTGGACGGCGCGGAAGGCGAGGCCAATGTTCGCAGTCGTGGATGTTGCCGGCGCCGAGGCGAGAGCAACACTCGTAGTCATGGATGCGGCCGGCGTTTAGGCGAGAGGAACGTTCGCAGTCCTGGATGCGGCTGGCGCTGAAGCGACGGCAACCGTCGCAGTCGTGGATGTGGCTGGCGGTGAAGCGGCAGTGATGTTCGCAATAACGGAAGCTGCTGGCGCCGAGGCGAGAGCAACGTTCGCAATCATTGATGTGGCTGTACGAGTGCGAGAACACACTTCGCAATCATGGATGTGGCCTGCGCTGCGGCGGAAGCAGCACTCGCAATCATGGATGTGCCTGGGGTTAACGCTAACACAAGGTCGACATAGTGGATGTGGCCACTGGTGAGGCGAGGGCATCCGTCGCAATCGTGGTCGAAGTGTCCCACTGCATATGCGCACTGGGTCTAACGAAACCAATAGCACCACTGAGACGAGCAGTACCAGAAGCATCAGCACCATGCGCAGACCAGCAGCAACGCCAACGGCAACAGTGGCAGAAATAGTATCGCAGGCGACACAAGCGACACCAACAATACCTCGTTGACCAGCACGACAGCAAACGACACCATCACAACGCGCACCAGCACCAGCGACGCTAGCAGCACCAGTATGGAGACCACGACGGGGAGCAGCAACACCATGCGACGCAGTGCAAGCGCCAGCAGCAGCAACTCTGTGACCACAACGACAGCAAGCAGCAATACCAAGCGCAGCAGCACTAGCGCCACCAGCAGCTCCACTGTGACGAGCACGCTGGAAAGCAACAGCGCCACGCGAGGCAACACAAAAGCAACCAGCAGTACCAGTGTGACCAGCACCGTTGGGAGCAGCAGCATTACAGGCACCAACACACGCTCAAGGAGCAGCACCGCCGCGACGCGCACGACAGGACCCAGCAGCAAGACACGCGCCAACACCAGCACCACCAACAGCACCACTGTATTCAGCACGACGAAAAACAGCAACACCACGCGCAGCAACACAACCGTCACCAGCGATTCCACTAGAACGAGCACGATGGGAAGCTGCAGCGCCAGGCGACTCGCGCTGGACAGCGCGAGCACCCCCACGACCCCCGCAGGCCAAACCGGAGGGGGGGAGGTACTCCCATACTCCAGCGCAAGGCGTCGCTGCCCAGATCGCCAAATGTTGAGCTGGACTCTGGGGGCGCCCCAGGAAAGAAATGCGCAGCCCGTCCGCGCGAGGTGTTCGCCAGGAGCCAGTGCGAACCCAACCCCGGGAACAACTTCTGCTCGGCCCAAGCCCGAGCGGCGGTCGCTTCCAGGAAACGGGTCGCGCCAGCCCGGGCCGCGACGCTACCTCGGAGCGCCAAGGCGTGTCGGAAGCAGCAGCGCCACGCGCTGCAGCATCAACGCCGCCAGCTCAGCAGCAGTAGCGCGAGCAACACAAGCGCGACCAGTAGAACCCCTGCTGCCAACGCTGCAGCAAGCAGTAGCACCACGCGCAGAAACACCAGTTCCACCAGCAGCGCCGCTGTGACCAGCACCGCGGCAAGTAGCAACACGACACGCAGAAGCACCAGAACAACCAACAGCGCGACCTTAACCAGCACTATGAGAACCAGCAGTGCGCCGCGCACCAGCTCTAGCGCGACCTGCAACACTACCGCGATGAGGACTACAACAGCGCGAGAAGCAGTGACTCTAGCGACGCTAATAATAGCTCTACGGTCAGCGCGGCAACAAACAACACAACCTCGCACAACCGTAATTCTCGACACGAGCAGTTCCATTATGACGACCGCGACGAGGAGCAGCAACACCACGAAAAGCAGCATCGACGCCGCCAGCACCACAACAGTAACGAGCACGACAACGAGCAGCGGCGCCAAGCGCAGCAGCACGAGCGCCACCAGCGGCACCACTGCGACGAGCAAGACTGGGAGTAATTAGCACCGACACGCGAAGCAGCACCAGAATCACCAGCAGTTCCACCATAACGAGCGCGACGGACCCCAGCAGCACCAGGCGAGTCGCGCTGGACTGCGCGAGCGCCCCCACCGCCCGCCGACGAGGGCGGCGAAAAGGGAAGCGCTCCCGTGCTCGTCACGGACAGGATCGTTCGATTTTGCGTTTGACACTGGGGGACGCTCCAGAGCAACGATGCGCAGTCCTCAGTCCGTCGGTCGAAGCTTGGCTGGGGGGTGCGAACCCCACCCCAGGGATTAACCGCTGCTCTGCCCAAACCCGAGCGGCGGTCGCTCCCGGGGGAATGGCTGCGTTACACGGGCTCGCCACGGCGAGTTTGCGAGGACGGGTAAGTGGCTCGTCGTGGGCCCTCCGCCAGCGCCCGCCGCATGCTGCCGCCCGTCCCAACCAGCTGACCCAACGCCCATCACCGGCGCCGGGCCCAGCCGGCAACGGCGCCTGACCTGGCCAGGACGGCTCCTGGGCAGCGCCTTCCCGTCGTCGTCGTCGTCCAGGGCGCCCGGCGGCTGCCGCGCTGCCAGCGTCGCCATTGCCCGCTGCGGCGGCCGCGGGCCGCCGCGCGTCGGGCGTGCAGCAGGAACAGTTCGAGCGCAACGAGCCATTCCACTGTGTCCAGCACGGCAGGAAGCAGAATCTCCACTCGCAGCATTACCATCGCCATCAGCGGTTGTTCTATCAGTGGCACGACAAAGACTAGCACCAATTCGCGCAGCAGCATCATCGCCACAAGAATCATCAGTGCGACCAGCTCGACAGGAAGCAGCACCGCCAGCAGCAGCGCGATCGTCACCAGCAGCACTGCAATAATGCGACCAACACTAGCTCCACAGGTAACACCTCTGTGACCATAGCGACAGCAAGCAGCATCACCAATACACGCAGAAACACCAGCGCCATACTCTGTAGCATTGTGACGAAAACGACGGGGAAGCAGCAGCGCCGGGCGCAGCACCACTAGCGCCACCAGCACCACCAGCGCGACCAACACGACAGGAAGGAGCAACACCACGCGCCATAGCACGAGCGCAACTAGCATCACCAGTGCGACCAGCACAACGGTAACCAGCAGCACAAGCATACAAAAACATTGCAATTGTGACCAGCACGACGGGGACCAGCTGCACAAAGCGCAGCAGCATGAACGCCACCAGCAGCACCAGTGCGACCAGCAGGACGGGAAGAAGCAGCACCACGCGCAGCACTACCAACGCCACCAGCGGCACTACTGTGACAAGCAAGGCGGGCAACAGCAACACTGAGGGCCAAACACCAGCGCAACGACCTTTACCTGTGTGACGAACATCACCAGAGGCAGAAGCCTCCAACGAAGCAGCATCACCAGCGCCTCCAGCAGCACCAGTGTGACCAGCACGACGGGAAGACGCGGCACAACGAGTAGCACTACTAGCGCCATCAGCAACACCACTGCGACCAGTGCGACGGGAAACAACAGCACTATGCGCACCAACACTCGTGCAACGAAGAGTGCCACTGTGAGCAACATCACTGGAAGCATCACCGCCGTGACCAACACGACGAAAATCAGCAGCACCATGCGTCGCACTACTAGCGGCACCAGCAACACCAACGTCACCAGCACTACGACGATAGCCAGTAGCGCAACGCGAAATAACTGAAGCGGTACCTTGCACCAAAATGGCAGCGGATGGGGCCACAATCCGGGCGCTTGCGCAGCCCAAAGCTTGCGAGGCTGCGTCTTCCCCTGCGGCGCGGATGGCATTCGCAATCAAGATGTGGCGTGCGCACCAGCGATGGTACAATCGATAATCAAGGCGAGAAGGGCATTCGCAATCAAGGGTGCGGCCGGCGCCGAAGCGGCAGAGGTGACAACAACAGTCGTTCCGAATCCAGAGTACAGCCCACGCTGAGGCGAGAACACCAATCGCAATCATGCGCGCGGCTGGCGCCTAGGACCCAGGCGAAAGAAGCATTCCGAGTCGAGTGCGGCCCGCGTTGAGGCGAGAACAATGATCGCAATTATGCGTGCGGCCAATGCCTGGGCGAATGCAGCATTTGCAATCAGATGAGGCCGGTACCACAACGAGAACGACATACTCAATGAAAGAGGTGGCTGGCGCCGAGGCGACACTTTTCATCAGAAATGTGACCAGCGCCACAGTGAGAACGACATGCTCAATGAAAGATGTGGCCGGCGCCTACGCTACACCAGCATTTTTCATAAGACATGTGGCAGGTGCCACAGCGAGAACGACATGCTCAATGAAGGATGTCGCCGTCACCGAAGCAGCTTCAACATTTTCAGTCAGACATGTAGCCTGAACCAAGGCGAGAAAGACATGCTCACTGAAAGATGTCACTGGTGCCTCGTCCACATGTTCAATCCGAAGTCTGGCCAGCGCCAAGGCGAAAACAACATGCTCAATGAAGAATGCCGCCGGCACCGAAGCGACAGCAAAATGTTCAATACGACCTCTGGATGGCGCCAACGCGGGAACGACATTCTCAATGAAGGACGTCGCCAGCGCCTAAGCGACAGACGCATTTTCATTCAAAGATGTGGTCCACGCACAACAACAATCTCAATGAAGGATGTCGCTAACGCCTAGGCGACAACAACATGTTCAATCAAACACAGATGTGACCCGCACACAAGCCGGAGCATCATTCCGAGACGCGCGCGTCGCCAGAATGCAGGTGTCACGCCCATTCCGCGCGGACTGGGCTCGGTGTCGCCGAGGTCCGGGTTACGTTGGGTGGATCGTCTACGTTAGGTGGGCTCGCCATCGCTCGGACGTCCATTCCTTGTGTTTTTTGTCGGTTTCGTGCGTGGTTTTTTTCGCCAAATGATCAAGGATGCTCCTCGATGGTCCTCGCCGAAGGGTAAATGCACACGTCCGAGCGATGCCAAGTGGGGTGGGGGAGCATACCCAGAGAGATATTCCCCCCCCCCCCCCACGACCTCCTCGCGGAGGAGAGAAGGTGGAGGGAACGCCTGCCCAGACGCGGCCTGTGCGCGCGGCGGCGGGAGGGCCCCCCCCCCCCGTCCTGCCTTCAGCAGGCCGTCCTGCTCCCGCACCTTCGCCTGCGGGGCGGGCGGGCCCCGCCTTTGCGGCAACGGGGCCATCGACAAGCACGGTGGCCACCACCGCCACCAGCGCGGGGGAGCCAGGGGGTTGACGAACGAACAACACGCACCCATACCCATTAAAGGGGGTCCCTGGGAGGAGGACTGGCTAAGGGTATGGGTGCGGGTTGTCGGACCCTGGGGAACGCTCCCGTTCGAGCGGGGACCCCCATCCCACAATACGTACCCATGGCCCTCTCCGATCCCCCTATGGGTATGGGTGTGTGTTGTTGGTTCGTCAGGGGGTGTCCCCCCTGGTCGAACCATGCAAAACGACAGAGTGGCGCGCCGCTGGAGCCTTGGCCTCGCGCGCCGCCACGCTGGCACCGTGCAGGCCATGCTGCCCGGCGGAGGGGGAAGAGGAGGAGAGGCAAGCAGAGAACGACGGACGCGCGGGCGGGAGACAGGGGTAGGCAGGGCGGGCGGGCAGGAGCTAAAGGGGGGCCGGGCGGAGACACCGTGCAGGGAGCAGGAGGGAATCTATAGCGAGCGACCACGATGATCAACGACAAGGGAGAAAAGGGCCAACCTAGGAGGCAGCCTATGCCACCTAGGTTGACGGGGGGACGACAGGAGACGACCACAAGCAGACAGGCCCGGCCAGGGGCCAGGAGAGAAGAACCGCCTGCGGCGAGGCCACGGACCCTACGGTAGCGACGGCGACCAGGCAGCGCAGGCGTAGCGGTGAAGTGGGCGGTGGGCGTCAGGGGGGAGGGTCGTCGTTTGCGGTCGTCGAGAAGGGCCGTCGGGGTCGTCGAGCGGGCGGCCGTCGGAGACCTGCTGACCCGTGCCAATCCAGACCCTGGGCCAATCGGGCCTTGCAAGCTCCCGCGAGATCCTGCAGGATCCTGCACCTTTAAGCCCGGGTCAACGCGAACCTGGCTCTGCAGGATCCTGCAGGAGCCCGCGCCCTGGCCGGCCCCTGCCTGCATCGATCCCCCGTCTCTGGAGCCCCGAGGCGAAGGGCGCGAAGCAGCTCCGCGGACGCCTCACGCGGCGTACGCCGTGGAGGCAGCCGTGGCGGGGGCCGCCACCCCCGCCCCTCCAGGCTGCGGCGCCCCGCTGGGGGCCTTGGCAATCTCTGGCTCGGGGGGGGGGCGTCCTCGCTGGGGGTCGCTTCTCCTCCCTCCGAGTGAGCCGGGCGCGAACTCAGAGGCTGGCCCCAAGTGAGGGGAGGACGGCAGGCTGCGTGCAGGCAGGCAGGCCCGCCCACGGCAGCTGGCAGACGAACAGGTAGAACGACATGCACCTACGATTGTTCCGTCTGCTACTGCAGCAGCTGGGCTGGAGACAGCTCAAGACCGTTTGGGGGGGAGGAAGGACGCACGAAAGCGGAGAGGGGCGCACGACAAGCAGGAACGAGAGGCCGAGGTGGAGGAGAGGGACAGACGAATGACGAGAGGGACGACGGAAGACACGCGAGCGGGGCTATCCGCTTTGGGACGGAGGAGGGGTCTTCACGAGGAGAACCATCGGATTTGGACCAGGACCTGGGCGAGGACAGCAGCCCTGCTCTGGCCGGCGGGCCGAGAAGGAGCAGCCAGGCAAGAGTGCGAAGGTCAGGGCAGAGGTCTGTTTGCCCGAGGGGCCGAGTAGGCTAGAGGAGGAGGACGACGACGACGAGGAGGAAGGAGAGAAGGAGGAGGAGAGGAAGAGGAGGAGGAGGAGGAGGCAGTTCTGAGAAAAGGTGGCCCAATGGTGGTGGCAGCTCAGAATCAGAGCTCTCGCGCGCGTGCGCGCACGCGCACGTTTTTCACTCGCGCGCGGCACCCCCTTGCATGCAAAAACAAATCGCAGGCCCCCCCGATGATAACAACCGCGACCAATTGCGTCATGCCTTGCTCATCCTGCCTCTCCCTGCTGCCCCCTCCCCCTGTTGCCCCTCCTCCTTCTCCGCCTCCTCCCCCTGCTACTACTACTACTACTACTACTACTACTACTACTACTACTACTACTACTACTACGACCACTACTACTACTACTACTACTATTACTACTACTACTACTACTACTACTACTACTACTACTACTACTACTACTACTACTACTACTACTACTACTACTACTACTACTACTACTACTACTACTACTACTACTACTACTACTACTACTACTACTACTACGACTACTACTACGACGACTACTACTACTACTACTACTACTACTACTACTACTACTACTACTACTACTACTACTACTACTACTACTACTACTACTACTACTACTACTACTACTACTACTACTACTACTACTACTACTACTACTACTACTACTACTACTACTACTACTACTACTACTACTACTACTACTACGACTACGACTACTACTACTACTACTACTACTACTACTACTACTACTACTACTACTGCTGATCCTGCTGCTCTTGTACCTCCTCCTCCTCCTCCTCCTCCTATCCATGCTCCTGCCCCCCGTCCACTCACTCAGCCCGCACCCGAAGGAGGGAGCGCATCTTACGCCCTGGTGTCCCTGTCTCTGGTCTGAGGTCAAAAAGGGGTGTGGAAGGACGGGTTGTCTTGCGGGGCCGCGTCCTCGATGCGGACCCTGCGGCGGTGGGCGTCGTTGTAAAGCCTGCCCTCGCCTTGCTCCTGCTGCCTCGTACTCCTCCTTCGCATAATCCGTCCGCGTCCTCGGCCTCTCGCCGAGGCATGAAGCGGCCCAGATCTTTGCACCATCTCTCTACAACACCGCAATGCACTAGTCGCAAAAACCACCCTTTGCACACGGGTCACAAAAGCCGGGCGGCCAGGGCTGGCTACGTTTCAGAGCATGGCCCGTGGGACAAACAACTCACGGGTGCCCTCACAAAATCGGATTGCCTTCCGCTGGACCTGCTCGACCGCAACCAATTTGGTCGCGAACTCTGCCCCAGAGGCACGATACACGTCTCCACCCTCCGAATGGCGCGTTGGCCATGCGCCCCAGGGACCCTGCAGGGGTGGAGGGACCAGCTGCCGGCTGCTCGCGGCACCTCGGATCAAACACGCGACCACCACGTGGCTGGGGCGGCCGCGCTCCGGAGTGGCACAGAGTCCGAAGGGCCTGTGGCCACGAGCTCCTCTCTGGACAGCTCCCCGGTTGCCCTTCTCCTCGTGCTCCTTGTGCTCCCTTCTCCGCCCGTTCATATCCCTACCCATCGTGCTGCTTTCGCCTCCCCTGTCTCTTTCTCCCTCTCTCTCTTTTGTTTGTTGTCTCTCTCTCTCTCTCTATAGCTATAGATCGTTCTCTCTCTTTTTTGTTGTTTTCTCTCTCTCTCTCTCTCATTATCTCCCTTCTCTGCTCGCACCCCCAACGGATACATCATTATTGCGTTGATGGAATCACCCAGGTCCGTTGGGCAATCCTCGCATGTCAAGCATTCCTGAACGTGTTGCCTTGGCATCACGTTCCACCGCGCTCATATGTATAGATGCCGATGACCAGAGATCATACGGCGCTGCACCATGGCCGCGCTCTGCTCATGCATCGTAGTAGTAGGCTTGGAATTGCAGTGGGCGTAGCAAAGTCTTCGTGGGTATGCTCAGGATGTCCAACAAATTGCAGCAATGCAACTTTGCTCTCGTCGAGATCAACGTCCATCGCGACTCGCCGCACCACTGGGTCTGAACACGTGTGTTCTTCAGACTTGAACACCGCGTGCCCGACCCAGGAACGCGGCCAGCGGCCAGACCGCCCTGTGGCGCAGCTGCCCTGGACAAGCCCAATTCCCTGGCTATGACAGGGTGCCCGATGGGGCAATTCGCGAAATGTTCGATGGACTCTGACTTGGCCTCGCACCCGAACAGTCAGCCCGGCAGGCCCGAACGTCCTTGGGTGCGTCGCGAAGCGGACCAGCGGGCCAGCCGTTCCACAAGGCTCGCCGTGATGCCGTCTAGCCCCGAGGTGGCGCAGCATGGGGGCCCCCCGCTACGGTCGATGCAGAACTGAGTGCGCCTCACGGATACGATGGCCAAGTTCCGTGTCTCGTGGATGGGCCTCGCAATTTCTCGGGCCCCCCTTGGATGTGATAAGTGTTTCTACCCGTTGTGCGCGTGCTGTCATGAAGGCTGTGAGCTGGTCGGCGACGTCGCCGGGAGCTGATGTCGAGCTACCCACGCGTGTGTTTCCGCGGTGGAGACGAGGGCAGGCCGCTGCGCCAGGGCGACGTGGCGTCGCTTCCGAGGGCGCGGGGGTCGACGCTGCAGGGGAGCTCGAGATGATCGAATTGCCCTGGGATGACCCTGATGAACAACTTTGGCTCGACGAGCTCTAAGAGGAATCGGTCACGGGCGATGAACGACTGCGGTTGGACGTGCTGTCGCGTCCTCATGTATTGATTTATTCCATCATCACCATCACTATCATTCATCTTCAGCATCATCAGAAGCAGCATCAGCATCATTTGTACCATCATCAACAGCAGCATCGTGGTTACCACCATCACCACCATCTACATGTTCGTAATCATCATCATGATCAGCAGCATCATCAGCATCATAAGCATCATCATCATCAGCATCATCATCATCATCATCATCACCATTCGTATCAGCATCACCACCATCTACATAATGAGCACCATCGTCGTCATCATAATTAGCATCAGCAGTATCATCAGTATCATCGTCAATACAATCTGCATAATCAGCATGAGCATCACCATCAGCATTATCAGCAGCATCATCCTCATCATCAGTATCAACATCATCATCGCCATCGGCATCATCATCGCAATTTTCATCATCAACATTAAACTATGCACAATCACCATCACCATCACCACCATCATTATCACCACCACCATCACCATCACTATCACCATCACCATCACCATCACTATCACCATCACCGTCACCACAACCATCAGCATCATCAACATCAGGACCATGATCACCATCATCATCACTATCATCATCACCATCATCACCATCACCAGTAATCCCCACCCGCTCCTCATGTTCAACATCATATCAATTTTGTCTTCATCATCATCGTCCTCATCGACTCGAACCGCTGCCACCGAGACTGCTGGATTGGTACGGTGGCAGAACATGCCGCGGGCAGCTGGAGAATTGTAAGGAATGACCAACTCGGAGAGACATGAGGGATGAAGGGGTATGCAGACCAGGGAGGACGCGGGAGGAAAACTCCCCCAGCTCACCAGGCACGTGAGGAGTTAAATGTTGCAAAGTGCTTTTTCAAGAAATGTTGCAAAGTGTACGTTGTGCACGTCGCATGCCTTTAGCATGCGCTCGTGCTACAGCGTGCGAAACCTTTTTGCGACAGGGCGGGGGGACCTGGGGCCAAGAGAAACTTCCGATCTGGCGGCCCCGGCACGCTTCCTTGCGCCCCTGTGCAGCAGGGGCCAGCCACACGGATGCATGGTGAGGATGCAAGGCCCTTGGGCGTTCAACTTGCATGAAGCGGCCAGCGAAATGGAGTACGGCTGATTCGCGCGCGGATGACGTCGGCGATGATTTTCGACACCGAACGGATCCTCATATCCAGAAACATCGTAGCACTCCGATTGCGCAGATCTTTCGATAACGGCCGACTCCCGTCCAGTGGCGGCGTTCAACCTTGGACTTCCGCACTGGGGTCGTCGCCGCGTCAACGCGGTGCGAAGCGCCGTGAGGATGGAACGAAATGGCAGAGATGCAGGGCACCCCTGTCGAAAACACATTAACCGGGTGAGGAACTTCATTTTAGTTATCGAACATGTTCTCGAGATGCCTCGGGGTAGGGTAGCTCGGACTCTGGTGTCAACGACTCGGATACTCACCCGAAGAATTGATAGACTGGGACCTCCTCCTCCATCCGCTCTCCTGCTCCTCTTCTTCCCCCTCACTCGTCTCCTTCGCCTCATCTCCCGACTTGTCATCCTTTCACCCTCCTCCGTACCTTCATCTCCTCCTCCTTCCCTCATCCGTCCTTCCTGCTCACTCCCGACGAACGCCCCCATCGACGAACAACCCCCTCACCTCCTTTTCATTTGTCCTCCTACTCCTCCTCCTCCTCCTCCTCCTCCTCCTCCTCCTCCTACTCATCTCCCTTCACCTTCTCCGATGGCTCCCCCGGCTCCCTTTCCTTACCTTTACCCCTCATTATCTGTTTCCTTCGACCCCTCCTTCCTCGCGGCCCCAGCCCCTCCGTTCTGAAGCCTTCGTGGGGCTCAGATTATCGGTGGCACCCCTATGGAGTTGTCGGTTCCTCTTAAGCGCCTGCGCGGAGGAGGGCGGAGAAAGGGAGGAAAGAGGAGGAGGGGGAGGCCAGACAGAGGAGAGGGGAGAGAAGGGGGGTAAACAGAGAGGATGAGTCGAGGAAGAGGGAGAGAGACTAACAATGCGTCTCCGAGGTCTGGCCCTATGGCCCAGGCTGGCCAGGCCTCTCCAATGGAAGGGAGCGTGAGAGCAAGGGGGGAGGGAGGATCGAACATCGCAGCTGCTGGGCGCTCTTGGCCTGGGCTGTGGCCGCCAAATCCGCAGGAGGCGGACAGGGACAGGGACGGGATTGGGAGGAGGAGGAGGAGGAGGAGGAGGAGGAGGAGGAGGAGACGAAGTAGCAGTGGAACGGAACCGTGCCATCGCTCGGACGTCCATACCACGTGCATTTGTCGATGTCATGCGCGGCTTGCTTGCGCAAGGTGCTCCAAAATCCTCCTCGATGGTCCTGGCCACAAAAAGAGGCACGCGTCCGAGCGATGCCAACGAGAGGGGAAGGCGTGGCGGAGAAGAGGAGAAGGACGGACGGAGGCAGAACGAAGGCCGAAACAAGGGAGGGGGAAGGGGAAAGGGAAAAAAAACTGACAAGATGGCAAATGAAACGGCGGAGCATTCGTGGCATAAGGAGCGACTGGATGCTGTTCAGCCTTTTCTCGTGTATCCTCCTGCACCCAACTCCCATAAGCTCGCTTCATCCCCTCTGCATCTGCATGTGTCGACCCCCGCTAGCCGGGAGCCCACGGACGTGAAATGATTGCCTTTCCCCGCTCCCCTTTTCCCACCCCACTCGGGTCCAAATTACAATTTGAAGAGGGGAGGAGGGGAGGAGGAGGCCCTGGGGTTGAAGCGGCGGCGCGAGCTCCTCAACGCACGTCCCAGGCCCTCGGAACCGCCCTCCAGATAAATCCACCCTCCGTGGCCACAAGGATACCCAAGCCACCTTCTAAAATGGCCCGATAAAGGCTCCACGCGACAGAGAGGCCTCCAAACAGAAGAGACGGCCTCGTAGCAGCTCAATAAGAACAAACACGGAACACAGCCGAAGATGAACCCCGCGAAGGCCTCCGGAAAAATGCGCCAAACATCCCCAACACCCCACACGATACATGGGAATACTTCTGGCACGGGCCCGGGCACACATACAAAACACACAACACAAGCATACACGTACATCAGCAGACAGACTCGCTCCCATGTTACGCACGCACTTACAGTGGGGCACACAAAGCACACATACAAACACATACACACCACACAATTTGACACACACGCGCACAGCTACAAACACAAACAAACACACACACACACGCACACACGCGCACACACGCACACTCACTTACGCACGCAAGCACACACACACACACGCACACGCACACACACACACACACGCACACACACACACGCACACGCACACACGCACGCACGCGCGCCCGCCCGCACACACGCACGCACGCACGCACGCACGCACGCACGCACGCACGACCCCCCCAACCCCCACACAAATACAGATGCACACATGCACACACACACACACACACACGCACGCGCGCTCGCGCACGCGCGCACGCACGCACGCACGCACGTACACACACAGGCACGCACGAACGCACGCGCGCGCGCACGCACGCACGCACGCGCACGCACGCTCGCACGAACGCACGCGCGCGAACGCACGCACGCACGCACGCACGCGCGTACGCACGCACGCACGCACGCACGCACGCACGCGCGCACGCACGCACGCACGCACGCACACGCACGCGCACGCACGGACGCACGCACGCTCGCACGCACGCGCGCACGCACGCACGCACACACACCCACATGCACGTACCCACGCACGCATGCACGCACAGACACACACACACAACCACACTCACACGCACACGCGCACACACACACACGCACGCACACACGCACGCACACACACACACACACACACACGCACGCATGCACGCACGCACGCACGCGCGCGCACACGCATACACACGCGCGCGCACACGCACGCACGCACGCACGCACACGCACACGCACACGCACACGCACACGCACACACACACACGCATGTTTTGCGTCGGCAGCTAGGCAGATGGTGGCTGCACTGGCGATGAGAGGCTTGAACGGGGACGCCGTCCGAGCGAATTACGCCACCATGCAAGAGGAGAAGCGACGAGAGGACGCGGCCAAAAGAAAACAAGGGCGGGGCGGGCGGCCCAGGGGTCAGATCGCTCCCCGAGCACGTGGCGCGGCCAGCCCCGACGCAGAGCCCGCGGCGCCCGCTGCGTCAGCGGGCCACGGGCGGCGGGGCCCTGCGTGAGAAGGCGAACAGCATGAAAGCCGGGTGGCTGTCCAACTCCCGCACGGGCGCGGTCGGCGCCGCGGGGCCGCGGCGCCGCCAGCGGGCGGCAAGGCCCGGCCCCGGGCCGGCGCGGGCGCCGGCAGCTGGCAGCCAAGGGCGGCGCCAGCGGCGGCCGGCAGCGCAATGGCGGCGCAGGAGCTAATGAGAGCGACTGAAGGGGGGGAAGTGAACAGAGAAAAAGGCGCCCGGCCCGCGGACCCATTGGCGGGGCGGCAGGCGCCAGGGAGGCGGCGCGCAGCAGACGGCGCGTGGACGGACACCGAACACAGGCGCAGGAAAAAGGATGGGCGCGCCGCCCGGCGGGGCGGGGAGCGCCCGCGGCGGGGGGGGGGGCGCCGCCGCCGCCGCGCGCCATGGCGCGGCGCCGGACAGGCGCAGCGAAGCGAAGCGAAAAGGGCGGGACCACTAGGCGGGAAGGGGGCCTGCGCGAGAAGGGCGGCCGCAGAAGGGGGCGGCGGGCCCCCGAGCAGCGGTGGGGCGAAAAGCGCAGCAACAGGATGGCCAGCGGCCGTCAGCGGGGGGCGCTCCTTGCCCAGACGGACAGAGAGGCCAGCCGGGGGGGCGAGCCAGCCATTCGCAATCGATGCGACCGCGACAAGCGCGCTGAGCAAAAGGGAGAAGCCCGCGCCCCGCCCCTCGGCGGGGGCGCCAGCAGGCGGGCGGCGGGCGGGGATTGCCAATCGGGGGGGCCGGGCGAGAGGCGAAGCGATGACTCTGATGAGGACCGAGCGCGAACGCAGGCAGGGGGCGGCGCCCGGCGGGCAGGCGGGGGGCGCGATGGCGGCGCGGCGCAGTGCCTTGAGACCTCATAGCGCCTGATAGATCCAAACGCAGAGGTGCGGCGCTGGACCGAGGCAGCCGGGGGGGGGCGGCGCGTTTGCCGGGCGCGGGCGGGCCCTTCCTTGCGCGGCGTTCCGCGCGCGCCTGCGAAGCGCGCGCGGCAGTGCCTGGGACAGGGGCGGCGATGGTGGCGGCTCGGCAGGCGCTGCCTGGACTGCTCGTCGCTGGGCCAGGCGGGGTCGGCGCGGCGCGTCGCTCGCCGGGGCCTGCCATTGCATTTGCCCTTGCCTCTTCCTGCTAGCTGCCCCGCCCTGTCTGCTGCGTAGCTGGCAGACGATCTCTTCGCGGAATTCGCCATGTCCTCTGGATTTCATAAGCCGCCCCCGACCGCCCCGCCCGTCGGTCGCAGAGAGCCGCCGAACCGATCGACATGCGCGGGGCCGCTTTCCTTCTTGAGTCTGCGCGCGACCTCGGCCCGCGTTTCGACGCGGTTTGTAAGATGGCTCCATGCGCTGTGCCATCAGATGTTCCAACGAGGCCGGTTGCAGAGGCGGTCGCGGGGGCCGGGGCGAGGGGCGCGCGGGGCGCGGATGCAGGGGGGGCGATGCGCCGCCGCAGGGAGGTGGCCTGCGCGGCGCGCCAGGGCCTGCCTCTCTGCTGGAGGCAGCGTGGGGATCGGGGGGGGTGGCATCTGGGGCGCGGGCCCCCGGCTGGGGAGCTGGCTTCGGCTGCGCGGGCCAGCTCAGCGGGGGGGGGCGTGCCGCCGGGTAGCGGGGGCGGCCCGTCCGCGGGCTTCGCGGCAGAATTGCCGGCAGCGTCTGCACCTTTCGTTGCGGCGGGATTGCGGAGAGGCCCTGGGGCGGAGCGACTCGCTTGGGCGCTGAATGCTGGGTCAGCGCGGGGAGGCGCGGTGGATAGACTGGCCTTGATTTTGTTATGGCTGCGCCTGATCAAGCGATCGGAGTCAGAGGCGCCTTCTCCTGGCCCATCTGGCCAGGCTGGGTCGACTGCTTGCGCGAGAAATTAACGAGGTGGGCCGGGGCAGCCTGTCCTCCGCCCCATTGCGGCGTTCCCGGGGCCCCGCCGCGCGGGATGGTATCGCCGCGCATGCTCCGGGGGAAACCTTTGCAATCGTCCTCTGTCCAAGCCCTGGGGCCCCTCCGGGTTGGGCGTTTGGGGGGCGGCTGCTGGCTCCGAAGGTCGCCGGCCCGCGCTATCCAAGCGACGTCGACTGAGCGGCGCAGTGCGCGGGCGTGCATTACGAGAACGTGCGCGAATGTATTGCCGGCCATTCCATCCTGGGTGTCAGGGTGAATCGCTGCGCCCGCTTCTCAGCATATAGGGCGCGCCGGTCGGCGAGGCCCGGGCGATTGGGAGGGTCGCAGACGTGGTCTCGCTCACCTCGGGGGCGCGGTGGTCACCGCCGGAACCGCAGCAGGAAAAGGGGCCCGCGCCGTGGCTGGCCGCGGCGCGGGCCCCCTGGCCAGGGTGGCGGGCGGGGCGCGTCTTCGGGGCAGGGCCCGACTCCCGCGGCAACGGCGTTTAGCGGTGCGGGGGAGAGGTGCTGCAAGTAGTACGGCTAGCGCTTGAGCTTAAGCTGCCTGACCTGCTACGCCCCCATTCCCCGCGTTGCTCCGTTGCTGTGACGCAGCGCGGAGTGGCGAGCTGGGGAAGGAGCGGCTTTTGCAGCGCTGGCTGGTACGGCGCGCCTGGCGGGACGAGCTGCGGGGGCGGCCTCGGTTCTTCGCGCGCGGGGTAGTCCCTGGAGAGCGGCCAGCCCCGCTGGCGCGGGGCCGCCGCCGTGTCTCGAGGCCAGCGGCGCGCGCCCGCCGAGCGCCGCGCTGGCCGTCGGCGGCCCCGC